ATACTGCATTTCCATTGTGAGCAGAAATAAACCAGAGACATCTGCTGGAAACACAGCTGAGACCCACACTAAATGGAAATGCATGTGGAGGAAAGGGCTGTCCCTCGCTAGGTGATTTAATTGAAGCCCAGATATTGTTGCTCAGAAGTATTTTCTGATTACTGACAATGTGTCAGGGACTGTGCTGGGTACAGAACTGAGAACTAGCCCTAACAGTGGAAATGACTATCTTGAACTCACTACTTTATTTACTTTCTTTTCTTTTTGCCCCTTTCGTCTCAATCCAATCCCTTTATTTAGAAAATATTTTTTAGCTTTGTCCAAAGCTCTATCTCTGAGACAGTATCAGGTTGACAGATCCCTATTTGGCACGTGCTGAGCCCATTCATTTGAAATTACTCAAGATACAGGGTCAGGGTGAGAAGGGGACCTGTTGAGTGGAGGAAGCATCCTGACTTCTCTGCCCACTAACATGTTTGAAGTCAGACTGATTAATTTTGAAAACTACTCTCCAGATGTGCAGCCTCTCTAGCATCCTTGACTTTTGGTCCTTAAAAATTATTAGAAGGTTTGGCTCCAAGATGTCTGATCCAGAAGAATAGCTTCATTGTTCCAGAGACTCCCACAGGTGATCCACATGTTAGTTGGCTGCTGGGGTGAGTTACCCTATGCTCAGGTACGAAGTGTGTATGCCCCTGGTCCCTGCACACAGCTGTCGCACAAACATGTTGCTTCTTCAGCATCCGCAGCTGTCTTCTCCTGGCCCAGGCCTGGGTCTTTACAGCATCTCACCCGGACTACCCAATGGTACTGCCTCCTCTCGGCTTTATGCTCTGGATTTCAGGTTGCAAGCGGATGGACCAACAGTCATTTTAATTAACAGCATGTTTTAATTGGCCAGGACAATGTTCTTAAAAGTTTTAAATGTGAATATCTTTAGGTGAGGCTGACTCTCCAGTATACCACAAGCTCTACCACTCCCCATTGCCCTCTATGCAGCCTGTTCTGCCCCTGAAAGCATTTGAGCTTGTGACTCTGAGCTGCCTATTTTTCCAATTCCTCTCCTCAGTCATATCGCCAATAAAAAGTATTTTCCTTATATCTCATGTCTAAGAAATGAATGTGCCAATGACTAAAAAGGGTTTGTCACCTATCAAGGGAATTTTTGTATTTTAGCTGAGATCTCCTATAGAGTCAGTGTTTTCACTCAAAAGCTGAATCATTGACTGAGGAATTAAAACAAAACTTGCCAGGTAGTAGGATAGTAGGAAAGGTACTTTAGAGGAAAAAAAAAAAAAGCATAGTGACACAGAGATTGTCACATTGAAGCTTCCTTGTTCTTTTTGAATTTAAGCACGACGACGATTACAACAGAACTTGACAGGAGGCTTGAAGCCTATCCTTAGGCAAAAGAAACTGTACTTTAAGGCATGAGACTGATTTCCAAGACGCTGTGCACACAGTGAGCATGGGTAATCCTTGAGTCACTTACTCTCTGGGGGATTTTTGCTTTCCCTGTTCCCAGCTGGATCCCAGGCTGTCAAAAACAGGGCACATTTTGCCAAGATCTGAGGGAATTATGTGATTGTGTAGATATTTGAATGTGTGTCATTCCATCAACGAGTGTTTCTCTTTCTCCATGATAAAATTAAACTAAAAATTTGGACCTTAGCTTCTGTTTTAGATTTTCTACACTCCAGATTCCTTCCATTAAGCCAAATAATTGAGATTTCTGTGGTAAGTGCACAGGGCATATCATAGAATGCAGGAAGTTTGGATGGAGGAAGTAAGAGTGAGCGTTCTCCTCCCTCCATACTTGATGAAAAAGGCTAAAACCTCTTTTATAAATCCTTATGTATATTGCAATATTAAACATGTCTGACCAAGTGGCATAATGGCAGCTAATTACCAGCATTTACTAAGTAACAGGCCCTGTACTAAACACTTTGCGTGCTTTATTTCATTTATTCTCATAATAACCCTCTGGGCAGAGCTCAGTGCCCCTACTTTATAAACCAGGAAACTGAAGCACACAGTGATTACTAAGTGGAAAAGTTGGTTTCTATTGCAGAGAGTTGGGTCTTCTGTAAAGTGGGCAGGGAGAAGCCCACAGATAAAGTTTTGTCAAGTACCATCCCAGGTCCTTTGCAGGCATCCTCTCATTTCAACCTCTCATGATGGAAACTGAGACTTGGGGAGGTTAAGTAACTTGTTCAAAGATATTTGATTTAATTGTGCATCTATGATCTGAATCCAGGTCTGTCTGATTCCAGTTGCTTCTAAAAACATGGGAGATACAGTCATCAGTGGTCAGTGGGGTATCATGCCCTGCCTTACATGTCCAGAGTCAGCCATTGGACAGGACTGGGGAAAAACTAGCAAAACTCCCGCCTTTGCTCTCCCAACTATCTCGAAAGTTTATTCCTTTGGGTCAAACATTACTTTCTCCCAGATAGGTTTTCAGAATGCAAACAGTCCTATGAAAGATGGTTTTCTGTTAAGTTTATAAAATTATCTTGACCCCCTTCCAACAATACCAAGGGGTGGGGGTGGCAGAGGTAGGGAGAGTGCAGAAGGTGCTAAAATGCAAAGGAGATTAGAATATGAGGCGAGGCAACCAGAGACTCATTTCTCCAAATCAGAATCTTGCCTTCAGCCATTTAAAACATAATTTCAACCAACCTGACTGAGTCTGAATGTATACAATTAAGTTTCTACTCTTTTAGTCATGTCCTACATACAAAGTATAAATAGTATTTTAATATATAGGAGTAACTGCATAGTTCAATCCCAAACCTTAACAATTGGAGAGTTTGATTGTTTAGAAACCACTGGTATTTCACATTTACTTCTGGTGTTTTAAACAATTCTCCCCAAATGTCACATCTGGAAGGATCGTTGTTTGAAATTAAATTGTTTTTGGAAATCACTGGATGCCGCGTAAAAGAATTTCCCAATCCGGCCTGTCTATTGGCCAACTAAAAGAGGCTGTTACTTGTGATTTGGAGTTTTGTTTTGCTCCTTTTAACATAAGAAAGATTTGACATTCATTTGAAAATGTTGTTTTTATTAAATTATCTTTATGTATTTATTTTTTAAAAAAGAACTATTGATATTTCAAATGCCTGCTTGACATTTTAGTTATTTAATTGTTAATCTTAAGCTACGAAGCTGAAAAATATAGGTCAAAGAATGAATTCCAAATTAGACTCTAATTTGGTCTAGGTTTCTGAAAGAAACACAATTTCCTAGCTGAAGGTTTTTTTTGTTTGTTTGTTTTTTTAAATTTTCACATTTGAGATAAGAACCGTTTCTGTTTTTGTTTTTCTGATCTTAGAAGAACATAGTTGGAAGGTGAAGTGTTTGAGGTATTGATTAAACGTCTTGCCAAATTCTTGTCTGAAATGACTCTCCTTGAAGAAAATGGTTGGAGAATGTTCTTAGTGTTTGGTTCTTGTGCTCTTCAGTTTGGATACAGGCCTGACTCTTAGGCCAGTTGGCTTCCAGGTCACAGAGTAAAATGGAGAAACAAGGGAAAATGGAGGAAAGACAAGAAACACCCATGGGCTATGGCAGACACTCAATTTGTCCAGTGCATATAATTAAAAAGATGAAAAAAAAAATGCTCTCTGACCTGAACTTGGACGTTGGGTTTTTTTCTAGTGCCTGATTTGTCTACAGCTTACGTGTTAGAGCACATACCGCTCAGGGGTGGAGGCCAAGAAAAGGAGTTTTCCTATAAAAAGAAGACCATCGCCTTGGATAGGCCAGAAAGAATTCTAACTTTAAGATATTTAAAAAAAATTTTCCTATCAGAGTTGACCCCGATCTCTCCTTATCCTTTGCTTCTACTCTCTGCCTCCAATTACTTGAAGTTTTAACATGGGACCAGTGATACCTTTATGTTCCCACCTTCTCTGATTAAAAGTAACTGGGGATATGACAGCAGCATGGGAGACTTTAAAGATGGGATCATGGCATCAGAGCAGGTGCTTGGGCTGAGAATACTGGAAACTTACTGAGTTCCTGGATTTACTAGCCCTTTCTTCAATTTGTAGGTCATTTCTTTCTATGTATAAGACAACCTCATAAAGTAAATGCTACAAAGAGACAAGAGATGTAAGGAAGATGAGCACTGCACAACATAATGGGAGAGAAGAAGATGGAGTCTTAAGTTCTCTCAGTTCCCCACCTATCCATAAGGCTGAACTTATGCCTCACATTGAGCACTGAGATTCTGTTTATGGGACAATCACCTCTGTTTCAATAAGGACTCTTTACAGATTGCGTTGCACTACCTTTGTTGGAATTTTAAGAATTTTGGGAGAGACTGTAGTTGTTGACCTTGGAATTTGGATTTTTAAGTACTGGAGCTATATCCATTTGCTCACTATATAACGATTCAGTATCCATGATCACTAGGAAATGTGGATGTACATGTGTTTGGGCTGGAAGCAAGTGATGGGGAAAAAAGGCTTTGAAGACATACGAAATTAAGCTAGATTAACTTTTTGAGAGTATAACTATGTTATGGTTTTTGTTCATTTTAGGCCTAAGTAATATTTGAATTTATAATATGTGATCCTCTCCTCTCACAGAAGTTACAGTCAGTGTTTTTCTTTCTAGAGAAGCAGAAAGCCACATAAAGGAGTGCCAGTGCAAAGAAAGAGCACCTATTTTTGCTTTGGGCTTTGGGCTCTGGGAGATGTAGTTGTATCTATCACAGTCTCTCTACCCAGCAATATGTGATATATAATTACAAGTTAAGGATGAGTTTTTAAATGATTAGATTAGACTGTGATTTGTACAGGTGAGTATTATCCTTTAAATTTTTACATTAGAAAGCTATACATCAATTTCACTGATGAGGCTGTTGCTCTAAAATGTGTAACTCTCCCCACCTTCAACACACACATATTCCACACATGTAATACATACACACAAATTCCCTTGGGTTGGCTTCTGGAGCCAACAACGTAGAAGAGAAGTGGTCCTGTTACCTTAGTGTTGTGGTTTGTTGACCTGAGAGCCATGGGATCATGGAATGCTGCCCTGATATGCAGGCATGGTTGGCACCAAGGAAAGATGAAGAAGCGGCACAGCAAGTTGGGTATTAGTAGTCCAGCTGTCAGCATCATCAAGGGGTAGTTTGTGAGGTCGAGGCTGGTTTTCATGACATCAGCACAGCTGAGGAGGTGAGCTAGGACCACTGAAGATTATTAAAATGGTTGGATCTACAAGTAGGATCCCACTGAATATTTCATCTACCACCTCCAAAGAAGCGGAGATCACAGAGGGAAAGCATTCTAAAAGACTTAGTCTTGATTTCAGGAGCTCAGTTTAACAGAAGGCATGGAGAGACAAAGGACTAAGAAGGTTCTTAACATTAACTTTTTCTCTCTCTTTATACCTCTCTTTCTCATCTGATAGGCTTGGTAAGATTGCCTGATATTTCATCAAGAAAATATGAGATTCAAGCTAACAGATAGTAGTTACTTTATCTCCCCACTAATAACCTACAGTCTTGCCTTCATCTGTATTAATCATTCTCCTGAAACAAAGAAGTGCCCTCTCCTATCGAAGTCCTTCCTTCCACACACATTGGTGATCCCATCTCCTGGTGCCTATTTTTTCTCCAGGTTTTGCACCATCTCTGATCACCTCTCTTGCTTCTTCAACCTCCTTTTCTCCACTGGATCATTATCCTAAGTATTAAAACATAATCTAGAAGCTCCCATCTTTCAAAAATACCTCTCATCCCAATATCTCTATTCCTAGCCTACCTACTATTTCTATTCTAGTCTTCAAAGCCATACTTCTCAAAACACAACCTATCTTTATTCTCCATACACTCTGCAGATCTCACCAGTCCACTATGTTCTTTCCAAGGTTAGCAGCTGCATCCACACTGCCAAATCAAATATTTTTTGGTCCTCATTCTACTCAACCTCTTGGCATAAAACACTGTTTTCAACACCCTTATTTACAATATTTGTTGGATCTCAGTTTTCATGGCACCCTACTCTAGACCTTTCTCTTGCATCTCCAGGCCTTCGTTCTCCAGCTTCGTCCCCTCTAGTCCCTAAATATTGTATCTCAGGACTCAGCCCTGGGCCTGTTTTTCTATGAGTATTCATTCTGATTGCTTTAAATATATGTTAATAATGCATAAATGTATATCCCAGCCCAGTCCTCCCTTCTGAGTTCCAGACTCATAGATTCAGCTTAACTCAAAAATCTCATAAGCATTTTGAATTTGATATGGCCAGAATTAAACTATAGATCTTTTTTTTTTTTTTTTTTTTTTGAGTCTTGCTCTGTCACCCAGGCTGGAGTGCAGTGGTGCTTCTTGGCTTGCTGCAAGCTCCGCCTCCCGGGTTCACGCCATTCTCCTGCCTCAGCCTCCCGAGTAGCTGGGACTACAGGCGCCTGCCACCATGCCCGGCTAATATATTTTTTTATTTTTTAGTAGAGATGGGGTTTCACTGTGTTAGCCAGGATGATCTCAATCTCCTGACCTCATGATCCACCCGTCTCGGCCTCCCAAAGTGCTGGGATTACAGGCGTGAGCCACCGTGCCCGGCCTAAACTATAGATCTTACTTCCCCAAATCCAACCCTTCCACAGTATTCTTGATCCTAGAAAATGGCACTACTAGTGCAGTTGCTCAAGGTAGAAATCTGGGAGTCATCCTTGACCTTCTTTCTTATCCTCCACATCCCACCTATCACCAAGATCTGCCCATTGTACTTTATCTTTATCTCTGCTACCAACATGATAGGCCAAGCCATCACCAGCTGTCACCTGGGTTCCTGCAGTAACCAAACAACTGATGTCCCTGTGTCCACAGAGAAGCTGGAGGAAACTATGCTACCTCTTCAGCCTCATCCATGTGCCTGTTCCCTCTAGTATTAGGCTCCGGCCACATGTGCACTCTTTCATTTCATTATAAGATCTTCCTTACCTTAGAACCTTCATACATGCTGCCCTTTATCCGAATGTCTTTTTCTCTAACCATTCCCTTCCTCCACATGTTTCCTCTTGGCTAATGCTTTCACACCTTTTATGTCTTAGCTGAAATATGTTCCTCCCGTAGGTTTTCTCTAGCCAAGATCCTGAATGTCTGTCTTCCACCATTCCACACCGTCATAACACAATTTTAAATTGTATATATTTTTTAAATTCCATACAATTTCCTCAATAGGACTCAAAACTCCATGAGGTCAAGAACTATGCCTATATTTTTATGACTCTATATTTAGTACTTAGTCCAAGGCCTAATGATAAGTATTAGTGAATGAATGGAATTCTGTCCTCTTTTTCCTAACACTCACAGGTTGGCAGGGTAGCAATACCCATTTTTTATATCACTTCTATGCCCCTTTTATAGTGACATGAAAATATATGAATCTGTGGAATTAGACAGAATGACTCTGACAGCCACTTGCGAATCCAGTGTACGACTTTAAGCAAGTTGCTTAACCACAGTCTTCCAACCTAGAAAGTCAGAAAATAATGTTTATCTTATAGTAATATAATGAGAATTAAAATGGCATCATGTATATAAAGTGCTAATCATAAAGTGTTGCAGTTTCAATGGTGGTGTCTCCTCCAAAATTCACAGTGGATCATATTTCCCAGTGCAACAATGTTAAGAGGTGTGGCGTTTGTGAGGTGATTAAGTTGTGGGGACACCACCTTTGTGAATGGGCTTCACACCCGTATAAAAGGGCTCAAGGTTAGAAGAGGGAACACCCTTCTCGCATTTCCATCCCTTCCACCACAGCATTTCGCCCCTCTGGAGGATCTAGCAACTAATTACTGTCTTGGAAGTAGAGCATTCCTCACAAGTTCATAAAAATCCTGCTGGTACCTTGATTTTGGACTTCCCAGCCTCCAGAACCATGAAATATAAATTTATGTTCTTTGTAAATTACCCAGTCTTTGGTATTTTGTTATAGCAACACATATGGACTAAGACATAAAATTATTCAGTAAAAGTTAGTTCCCTGTCTTCCACGCCTTCCCCTAAATTCCAAATTCTTCTTGCCCAATAGATACACATGCACACATACAGAATTTGAAAATATGAGAATATCTATCCCGCCCTCCTGGGTTTTTCTGATTATGCTCTTCCTACTGCGAGTTTTGCCTGTAAAGAATAAGATACTTACCCAGAGAAGAACATTCGTAGCTTTAAATCAAATATGTAACTCTAGCACTAAATAACTGGAGTTTATCGAATAAGGGCACCTTCTCCAATACATTTGGGGATATTATTGAGGAAAAAGTCAATAATATGATTTGATAGCGCAGAAGACATTACTTTAAAAGAAAATACCAGATGGCAGCACCAGATGCTGGAGATGTGTCTGATGGGGCTTTAGCTCAAACCTGAGCATTGAGGATGCTGAAAGTAGCTTAAAACTGTGTTCAGAGAGACAATCATTATAGAAAAGATAGTTCCCCCTTAAGAAAAATAATACATATTTTGCAATATAGAATAAGGTTTTAGGAAGAGTGTTTCATAGGTTACAATTGAAATCCTAGGAAAATAACCCCAAGCCGTAACTAATAAAAACTTATTAGGCAAAAGTTTCATTTTGGTTTATAGTTATATTTAACGAACTCTGTTCTGTTCCAATTAGCTTGAAAGGGCCTAAAGCTAATGAATGAATTACAATCAGCTTCCAAAAACAGACAAAATTTTATCAACTATTAAATGCAATTATTAAAATTTATTCATTCATATTAAAATAAGAATAATTACTTCTATTATTATATTCCTCAGCATAGCTGGGAAAATCATTTACTAAAATAGACATCAAGAATCTCATTGAATAGATATGACATTAAAATTTAAAATGTTAACATACAGTTTGATCCATATTATGAATCACAATTTTATCTGGAATTGACACCACTTTTAAATTTTTGCTAAATTGGGTATTACCCATCCAGGCTTTTTTTTTAGAGGAAAGAAAGGAAGTGTGATGCTGCTCATTACACCATGAAATACATATACACAGTCCCAGGACTGTTCCATCTTTTAAATAAAAATCCACACCGAAGGTTTTATTCCTCTTAAATACTGTTTAGGGTCCTACACAAGTTTCCTGGGAGATCAGGAAGAGTGAGTTCAGTCCTATACTTTGGATGTGAAACAATGAGACAATTCAAGCCAGCATATTAGTTAGAAGGCAATGCAAAATGCCCACTGAGATCTTGGAGCAGAACTTGTCTAATCGGTGTTTGTGTTTAGATTTGACAGAAGGATCAAAGGAGCATCTGTGCCATAAGGGACCTGAGCCAATCTATTTTGGAGAAACATTCCGAGGGAAAGGTAATTCATTCTACCAGTGAAACAGTGACTGTGGGGTCACTGGAGTGAATTGTTTTCCAACTACTATGATCACAGTTCTGAAACTATTTCTCTCACCTGAATTCACTACAAGATTGAACCCCGTGAGAACATAAGGCAAGATAGCTGATTCTAATCTGAAATGAGACCAAGGCTTCCAGAGGGAAATCTGAATTGTAAGAAGGAATGTATGAGTGTCAGAGGCTGCCAAAAGTCAGCTTTCACAGACAGATGAAATTCTGAAATCTAGTAATCATTACAGTAGTGTTCTTTATGGAAAATGAGTAATTCATAGCACTATCTAAAATTTAAATGAAAGAAAGAAAAATATCCATAGGCAGGATCAAATCATAACTAAACTACACAGTGAAGGAAAGGCTTTCTGCTGAAAGCACTATGGAATGGTAAATGTCTCCTCTAAGGAAGGACTAAAGCCCACTGCTTTGAAAGTTCTCATGCTCCCTGGAAGCCTGAGAGTTTTCTCCTTCATAACTAACCCAAGCTTATTTTAAGTCTGGCAGCCAAAGGGACCCTATGTTGGATGACCTTTCTATGCCCTCTACTGAATCTTGTGTGGTCCCCAAATAGGCCAGCACACATCTGACAGTGGTCGGGGCCAATTTCTCATTCACATGTGTGTTCTCAGGCCTGAGAGCAGGGTTGGGTGTGCTCTGACATAGCCATGTCCTCTAGACCACCACCCCCTACTCTTGTCTAAATGCATAAGTCGAGTCACTGAAGGACCATCGCTGGCCTCTCCTGACATTCTCCCCTCCAGATGACCGGGTGAGTCAGGAAGGTGTCTCCTAGGGAAGCTGGGTGCCCAAGCCAGCCACTTGCAGCCATCATGACTGAGTGAGAACATGCTGTGCTCAGCCTGTTGGCTCTACTCTTGAGCACAAAGTATGTGTTATAACAACAAGCACAAGAATCCTGACCACACGCTTCCCTATCTCTAGATCTGTAATGAGAACATTTGAAGTAAATGCATACAATCAAGAAACAGTGCTGTAAGGCAGAAAGTGAACAGAGTTTCTGATTTGTGACCCTGAGACACAGATTCTTATATTCTCTGAATCCAGACCCCACACGTTATGGAAGAAAAGCAACAGACAGAAGATAGGAAAAACAGGTCATGTTTATGAAACCAGCTTGAAGACTATGCCACACTGAGGAGTTTGGTTTTTCATTAGGCAAAGAAACGAGCTGTTTTTTCTTCAATGTTCATCGGAAAACTTGCCCAGCAGCTGTGAGTGACTCTTCAGCTTTCGAATCATTGTCTTGGAATCTTCTAAACCAGCAAGACCATACTCATTTTATTTTAACATAGAATTTAGGAGCAAAGGACTAGACAGTCCTCAAAGTAATAAAATAAAAGAAAGAAAAATCAAATTAGAAACAAAGAATGCCCCTTTCCCAACCAATTCCTTTGGTTTAACCTTTTACAATAGCTTGTGTAATCTTAGTTCTCTTTCTTTCCTCTTTCTTCCCTCCCTCCCTCCCTCCCTTCTCTCTGTCTCTCTCTCCTTCCCTCCCTCCTTCCTTCCTTCCTTCCTTCCTTCCTTCTTTCTTTCTTTCTTTCTTTCTTTCTTTCTTTCTTTCTTTCTTTCTTTCTTAGTCTCGGTCTGTCAACCAGGCTAGAGTGCAGTGGTATAATCTCAGCTGACTGCAACCTCCAACTCCTGGGTTCCAGCAATTCTCCTGTTGCAGCCTCCCAACTAGCTGGAACTACAGTCATACGCCACCATGCCCAGCTAATTTTTGTATTTTTAGTAGAGACATATTGGTCAAGCTGATCTTGAACTCCTGACTTCAGGAGTTGGCCTCCCAAAGTGCTGGGATTACAGGCATGAACCACTGCACCCGGCCTAATCTTAGTTTTCTGAAGAATTCATTATCTCTGCAGGCTGGGCTTTTCAAGTAGCAAGCCATGGAAAAAAGACCTTTACCACTTCCTGTTTCTCATGATTTGATATTCTGTAAGGTTGACACAAGACAAAGCAACCACAATCTGGTTTAATGGACAAAGAACATGAACCAGGCCCTATCTTGCAGGTAGCCACCCTCGTAAGCATCTCTCTACAATCCTTGTCCATGATGAAACTTTAGATAAAACCCTAAAAACTCTTTGCCATTCAAGCTGGGGATTCCTGGGGTCATGCTTGTTCACAATGGCCCACGTGGGGGGTCAGGGCCTTGTCGTCAGCCTGAACACAGGGCGCAGAGCAGCAGCAGGAATCAAGCACCTCCCAAAAAATAACCTAGTTGCTTCATTGTCTACACTGGGGTTAATTTCCTACTTACTACAACCATATAAGTGTCAAAAGAAAAAATATGCTGTATTTACAGACTATGTGTATTTTTGCAAGTTCTTCAGTGTTTAATTGTTACTAAAGTCATTTGGGGTTTTTGACACAGATTCTATTTTAGTAAGATAAACTCAGCATAACCCAGCAGTGCCAAAAATGAATTCCTAAGGTAGATGACTAAAATAAACCAGCAATAAATATTGGCTGTTGGAATGGGAATTATATCTCTGTGATGTAGACACAGCATTAATGACTCATTTTCAAATTACAGTCTCCTGGGGATTATTTGTATCAGGGATCAGGGAAGAAAGAAGTCCATCTCTTCTTCTTTTAGACAGCAGAACTGAAGAGGAATATGAACCCATCAGGCAAGGATGTTCTTGTATCTATTCAGCCAAGAGAGATATAGGCCCTGGAGTTCCACAGGGAGTTAACTTGAACAGGCTGCATTGAGGCTGATGTAAGGCATTGATAGAAAAAATACTAGGGGGTGAGGTGACTGATTCTAGGGATAGTTTTCTCTCGTTCCCCTATAGGCAGAGGGTGCCACCAGGTTCACCTAAAGCCTCTTGTGTGGCATGAATTACCCTATCAGTTACACTGGGTGCTGCCCTGTTCCTTTGCTGCTTGGAATTAGTGGACTCTTTTAGGCCTCCTTTACTCCCTAAGGTCAAATTCTGATCTTTTGGCCCCTGAGGCTGAGTTTTACAACTTCTCTGGTGTACCAGAAGGCGGTCTGAGGTAAAGGTTAGGCTACAATTTGGGCAGGACACAAGCTGAGCTTGACTTGGTCCCGCTTGGCTGGACTGTGCAGTCGGAAGGGGCTGAGGCTTCCGTGGGAGTGGCTGGTGGAGCTCCACAGGGAGCTGGTCATTTTCTATTTTCCACTTTTCCAGGCATTTGGGCTCATGAATAGGAAGGGACAGGGTGCCAAATTCCCTACCACAAATGTAGCAGATAACAGTCCTTGGTCGGGCTGGGGTTCCACTACGAGCTTTCTTGAGGCCAGTAAGATGATCAGAACTGTTTGATTGTGGTGCTCTGGCACCCTCACCCTTTGGCTTGCAGCTTCTCTGATGAACAAGAAGATTATCTGGCAAGAATGTGCGGCCACAGGATTCACAGGGCAGCAGCTGAGCCTGGGCACTCTGAAATGCAGCCTCATTACTTGCCTGAAGACTGTAGGACCCACTGCCGCTCAGAGACTGTGGTTTGGAGGGTTCTGGCCTCCTCAAGTGCTTGGGCAACTTACTGTTTTCAATATGCCACTTCTGCAAGCACTGGGGTTCATGAATGGCAATTGACTGGGACCCAAATTCTCGACCACAGATGTAGCACACCCGGAATCCAGGCCTGCGGGCCGGGATCACAGGGGGGCTAAGCTGGCTTTCCGATATAATTCTTCTACCTGACGGTTTTGATAGTATCACAGTCCCAGGTCTCTTTTTCTGAGTGTCTGTCTTAATCTTTTCACCAGGATTAACACTCTCTGTTTCTGGCAAAAGGCTAGAATAGGAGTCACTAGAGAGAAACCCAGCTTGGTTGATAAGGAAAGTGGGTTCTTTAGAATGGTGAAAAGTTTGTTGTAACTTATTGGAAATTCTTTTCTTCTTTCCTCTTTCCATTAACAAAGATTTCAGGCCAGACTCACTCTGGGCTTCTGCTTAGAGTGAAGGTTAGTGAGGTTAGTTGTCCTGGGGTTCACACTGTTGCCAGTACCTTAGCCCCACAGACCATGACTCAGAGCTTCATTGCAGGACAGCAGTCTGGAATGTTGGAAAGTCCTCATTAAAGTTGAGATGTCTGCAAGATCTGTGGAGGGGTGTGGGAGACATAAGAAGTTACTATGTATACACACACATATACACATATTTGGGCTGTAAACTGATAAAGGGCCGTAGTTTTTTTGTGTTTTTCTTTTTTTTTTTCTTTTTTTTTTTTTTGCTTGTTTTAAATATTGACCTTGTATACTTTTTGACTAGCATAATAACCAGCATATGGGATTTGGTCAATAAACTGACATAAACCTGAGGAAATCGTCCATCATCAATTGCACTATCACTGTATTAAAAATAGTGTTCTGCCCAAAAAGTTAACTTGACAATGACAGCACATCATAGATACAGATGATGCAAACCTACAGAGGCTGAGACCAGGGTGGTAAGACCATAGAAGAGAAAACTGCAAACTGTGAAAATTAGATTAATGAGATCAGCAGGTCATACAAAAAGACCCCCTGGGCCCCACAGAAACTTCCACTACGTCAGAGATCCTTAACTTGTTAGTGACATGGATTCCTCTGACAATTCTGTGTAATATGTTTACAAGCAAAAAATTAAAATTGTTGCTATCACAGGGGAAATCAATATTACTGAAATAATTTGTCAACTGTTTCTAGTTGTGATATACATTTTAATCGAGATAAAGTTGTGTCACAGACTTCTTGCGTGCCCATGGACCTGAAACTAAGAACTCTTGCAGAAGAAGTAATTCAAGAATGAATCTTAAGAGGATTATCAGGATAGCCCTCAGAGGGACATAAACTTCTTGTGACACATCATGTATTCACTTTTGTTTATTATGGGAATACAGTATTAATAAGTGGAGCTATAATTCTCCAGCAGAGTACAGCCTAGGCTGGCACCCATCCTGGTGAGATATCTGCAGATCTTTCGTGGAAAGATGATACACAGATGCTGCTTGAGGCTCTTTTTTCTTAAAGGTATCATACCTACTTTCTTGTTTTATATATGTATGACTTCCAAATATTTTTAAAATATAAAACAAAGGCACTAGATTCCCCAAGAATCCCCACCAGAAGAAGTGGCAGCTTAGATATCCATTTATGGGAAGAATCCTAAATTTTTATATTGGGAAAAGTCATGAGTAAATTTTACCATGGATTTATAATCTGGCTCCCCAAAACGATTATTTTCAGAAGCCTCAGGACCTTTTTCATTTCCTGAAGGATGACCCAGATCAGGGTGATAAACTCTAAAGCATCCATTCTTAACCACAGAAGGAGCAGCCCTGGTGTGAAGCTGGATCCTGCACATCACGGCAAACACTTCAGTTTGGGCAGTGCAAGGCCAGCAGTCCTGGGAATATGGAAACCCCAGGCACTGGATTTGATAAAGAACAAAAAGAGCTGTGATCTTTGTGCCCAGCTCCTGACTTAGGTGCCAAGAAAGGTCTGAATCCTTGCCTTTAAGAGTATCAAATCAGGTCTGGCAAGGAGAAGGAAGTTATTCTTTATTTTGACAGATTTTAAGACAGTAATGTTAACAGATGTGACAAAAGTATGTGTTGGCCCCAGAGTGGCCAGCCTAGAAAATGAAACAGAGAAATTTATCACTTGATTAGTACCATCTAAAAGAGAAAGTAGATCTATGGAACATAGGAATAGGGTAAAATTATTTCATTAGGTTTTTAATCCAGCCCATGGGTTATTTCCATAAACCACTCTGCTTCATTGGCTCTGTTCACTGAGGAATTTTAGTTTATCGTTTTCCTTGATACTAGGAAATTGCAGACACTAATATGATTTAAGAAGGCAGATTAGAAAAATCAATGCAATCAAATAAGCCTCCTTCCCCTAAGTTTTCTCTATCTCTGTCTCTCTTCCTCTGTCTCTGTGTCTCTGTCTGTCTTTCTCTCTCTCTCACACACACACACACACACACACACACACACACACACGAGTCAATTCTGTTCCCAGCAGATTAAAATACTGAGAAATCTCCATGACTTTCCATAACAACCCCTCCATCTCCCTTTTGATAAGGTAAGAGAGGTAATATTTATTGAATACCAATTATGTGCCAGATATGGCACTGATGTTTTTGTAAACATAATTTTAATTAATTGTCAAATAATTATGAAGCAGGTATTATTATTTCAATTTTATAAGTAACGAAAATGACTCCGAAAAGACAAGTAACTTGCCCAAGGCTGTCAGTGTCTAAATGACAGAACTGTGAATCAATTCCAGCTCTCTTTGGCTCCAGTATGTGGCTCTTTCCATTATTCATTCTGCCTAAATTCCTCCAGCAGAGCTTCTTCCCTTTAGTTTTCATCCCTGTTTTAATGTACTATCCATATGCCTCAGGGAAAGGTAACTAAGCTCTCACCAGCTGTTATGCTTCCTTTTAGGAGAAAGAAGAAGCAAAGAAAAGGAGGGCAGACAAGGCACAGAGGAGAAGCCTCTGAGAGGGACAAAGCAGAAGAGGGAGACTGGGGCTATGGAACACAATGTTTTCAATGTTAAGTGACGGGGCCATTTTTTTTCAACTTTTTTTTATAGGTTTGGGGGTACATGTGCAGGTTTGGTATATGGGCATATTGTGTAATGCTGAGGTTTGGACTACACATGAATCTATCTCCCAGGTAGTAAGCATAGTACCCAATAGGTAGTTTTTCAGCCCTCCCCCTGCTTGCATTCACTGCTGTCTGTTGTTCTCATCTTTATGCCTGCATGTGCTTGACGTTTAGCTCCCACTTATAAGTGAGAATGTGTGGTATTTGGTTTTCTGTTTCTGCATTAAGAATCACTTTTGCCAGGCCAGGTGCAGTGGCTCACGCCTATAATCCCAGCACTTTGGGAGGCCGAGGTGGGCAGATTAGCTGAGGTCAGGAGTTCGAGACCAGCCCAACCAACATGGTGAAACCCCGTCTCTACTAGAAATACAAAAATTAGCCTGGTGTGGTTGTGGGTGCCTGTAATCCCAGCTACTCAGGAGACTGAGACAGGAGAATCACTTGAACCCAGGAGGCAGAGCTTGCAGAGAGCCAAGATCGCGGAACTGCACTCCAGCCTAGTTGACAAGAGTGAAACTCCCCCCTGGCCCCCCCAAAAAGAATCACTTTTTCCATATACAGTTGTTTTCTAGATGTAATTTTTCCTGAGTGATGTGCAGTACAGAGTCTTGTCTTAATTTCACCAATATCTTCAGAAAAATCTACATAACCAGCAGAGGTAGGGACCAGTTGGGGGAATGGGGCAGACCACCAATGAATGATGTGTTTTGTCTTTCTTTATCATGGGCACAGGGTAAAAGTGAAGGCTGCCCCAAGAGGCCAGGTAGTGCTCAGTTTGAAGCCATGTCACCATTTTGATTAGGGATAGATCTTACCGCACACGAACATTTGTGCACTGCAAATATTTTCTCTGCAGCAAACACGATGAAACATCACAAAACGTCCATTTGAATCTTCAGCTTTTCTTTTTCTACCATCCCTTTCCTCCTCCAACGTTCTCCTGAAATTTTTCCCTTATTGTGACTAAAGGTATCAAAATATGAAAGATGAGGTAGCTGGAAGCCAGTGAAATTTTTGGGAACGGAGGTGTCTTATGGAGAAATGCATAATGTTTCAGCCAGTGACTGTGCAAAGGCAACATGCCACGGCACAGCAGTGTTGGTTGCTCTCCCTTTATAAGTTAGCTCTAAAAGCAAAAGTACTGGAAAATACTAAATACATATACTTAAATCACCTAAGAAATTGGCCTGTCACCCAAAACATCATAAAGCAATGTTGCTGGTTTATAAAGAGAATCACTTTGCAAAGCCAGACAGTTTTACCTCAAGCATCTCTGGAGAATGTTCACTCAGTTGGCCTGGATTATTCGTTTTGACCATATCTGCACATAGGACATTTAAAGAATGTCTTGGAAGGCATCACTTTTTATCAACATGATGCCATTTTTCCATTCTCTTCAGGGTTCATGGGAAGGGAGAGACAAACACACAAAGATAAATGTAATAACCGTGGAAATCCAAAAACCATCTTGGCATTAGAAGGTGTCTCTCCAAAAGAGAGGGAACAGAACACAATCAAAAGTGTGATCATATCTTTTAAAAAATAAGCTAGTCCTTTGAGGATGAGTTCCTGTCCTTTGCAGGGACATGGATAAAGCTGGAAACCATCATTCTGAGCAAACTATCACAAGGACAGACAAACAAACACTGCAAGTTCTCACTCATAAGTGGGAACTGAACAATGAGAACACTTGGACACAGTGCGGGGAACATCACACGTGGGGACCTGTCGTGGGGTGAGGGGCATGGGGAGGGATAGCATTAGGAGAAATACCTAATGCAAATGACGAGTTAATGGGTGCAGCAAACCAACATGGCACATATATACCTATGTATCAAACCTGCACGTTGTGCACATGTACCCTAGAACTTAAAATATGAAAAAAAACTAGTCCTTTGAAACAAAAGAAATATGGTGGATACATGATATGACCCCTTCTCTATTAGTATGGAATTCAAATTCTTTAAATGAACAAAAATAAAAATAAGAAAGATGGAGGTGGGGCTGATCGTGGCTCTGGCAAGATTCTAAAAGAGAGGAGGTTCATCTTCAATATTCTTCACCCACCCCATTCAGTAGCCTCCACTCTCCAGCCTAGTATTCTTGTATGCTCACAGTCTGTCTCACCTATGAAATCTTGCTTTCAAAAAGGAGCTGATGGACTCATTCACACCAAGGCTTATAATTGATGAGGTAATGTCCCTTCCAATGTCTGGCAGAGACAGTTATTTCCTTACCAATAGCCATTCTACTCAACACCCTCAATTAATAGGCCCCAGTTTTCAGCTGGGCACATCTACAAGCTCCTTTGTAGTTAGTGAAAATATTGTGTGGAACTTGTAAGAATAATTCTTGAAAAGATAGAAGAGAACAACTGCTTCTCTTATTTTCCTTTTTATTGATGCTTAGAAGATGGATGTGATGACTGGTGCTTTAGCAGCCAGTTGAGAACAGATTTCATCTATGTAACCCTTGATATGACAGAGCAGAGACCT